GAATGTTTTGATTCAATTCACTGATCTAGGTATCAAATGGTCATGAAATGTAGTTGAAGTAGTTGGGCAGGCGTTGTAAATGTTGTGGTGAAGAAATACTCGGAATTCATCACTTCTCTGAAACACTTGATAGAATAAGGAGAAAATCCAACCACAAGATCAGATGCATTTTAAGTCTCATCTCGGTATCGCCGTTTCCGTTTATTTTGTTTTTGAGCCCCTGGAGATTTGTTCCCAAAGAAATCAAGGACGCACAGATATATCTAAACAAAAAAGCTGGATCTACAGCAAAGTTCTGTCAAGCTTGTAATGTTAAGGGTTTACCTACTTCAGGAGAGGGAGAAAATGGTGGACATTGCAATTAATGAATCCAAAAAGAGACCACGCTGAATTGGGCTCAAGCATAAAGCGTCGAATCCGTCAAAAGGAACCAATAAATGGAGAAGAAGACATAGGAAACAACCAAAATCAGTGGAAGGACACTGTACATAGTTGCATTGATTCACATGTTTAATACCTCCACCATGGCTGCATTGGCGAACTACCTCCTCGTGGTGCCAGCTGGGTGGTTCGGATGTACCCCGTTCCAGCAAAGTGTTCGGCGACAAGGTTCCACCTTGGTGGGGCACTGTAGTCCAGCAATTGTGCTGATTTCATGGTGAGTATTGGGCCCCTGTTTGGTGATCTACCAAACGAAAGACACATGAACTGAACGTTCAGTCAGCGCCTCCCAATGAGCGCGATGCCCTGAATTCGCCCCGCTGCCTTGCGGGTAGGTTATTTAACTAAAGGCTCGGGGTGGAGTCCCCTAAGTCAACTACCCACTTCGGCTTGGGCAACTGGGTAGTATCACGCCCTCTAGCAAAAGCATGGACTGTGCTACAACGTGCTCATCAGCTACCGTTTCTGCATCTCACATTCAAGCGACTTAATCACACGCCAATCGTTTGTTTGCTAACAATCCTCACTTTCCGTTACAAGATTCATGTGTTCAACAATCTGGCTGCGATTATAGTTGCGCTGTGAACCATGGAGTTCAATCTATGACTCTCCTTCCACTCCGATCCTCGTTCCGTCTGGCGTGCTTCAACGTTCCGACACACATGCAGATTGGACAGTAAGCCGGTCTAGCGCGCACCCTAGAGTCCTTCGATATTGATGTCTGCTGCCTTTCAGGAACCCGATTGCAAGATCCCAGCACTGTGATTACATTGACAACCCCCACTGACCACAAAGTCAGATATCACCTGCGTCTTTCTGGAGATCGAGAAGCAGCCTCAGTAGGTTTGGCTGGTTTAGTTATAGCACTAAGTGGCAAGGTCAAGGCGGCACTACTGGAATGGTTCCCGATTGACAGCCGACTATGTGCAGTTCGGTTTCGGGGCTCATGTAGAATCAACAGGTATCGCAAAGAGAGACGCAATTTGTTTGTGATCTCCGTGTACGCTCCAAATGAATGCAGTGGCGACTCGGTCAAGGACGAATTCTACCGGGATCTACATCAGCTCTTCACTAATGCTAAAATGTCGGATGTCACTGTCCTTGCTAGGGATTTTAATGCACGGGTTGACCAACTGTTACCACACGAACGCCACCTAGATGGTCACCAGGCGTTCGATAAGAGCCGCTCTGTGAGACTGCTCGCATTGTGCGAAGACAGTCATCTATTTCTCGCGGACACTGACTTCAGGCGTTCGAAGAAGCGTTCCGCAACGTGGCGTCCCCCTTCGCCAACACAACCGTGGTCTCAAATTGATCACATTGCAATTAGCTTCAGATGGCCTGGCAGCGTACTGGACTGTAGATTCTTTTGGTCCACTTTCGGTGACTCAGATCATGCACTGGTCTGAGCGAAAATCTATGTGTTTTGGAGGGCCCCGAAACACGGAGCACCGCAAGATTGATGTAAACAGATTAACTGATTCCTCTGTCGGGGCGAGCTATCAGTCGTCACTGGCATACGCACTCAGTTGCAATCAACCGCAAGGCGTGAAGCAGCACTGGACTTGTATATAGAAAACCATGACCATATCCGGACAGTCAAGCTTCGGCCGCTTCGAAATGTACAGTACTGCTCAAGAATTGGCTCACACCTGCTCCCGTGCTCACTCTCGAAGGTACTCAACTTGAACAGGTAGATAGTTTCGTCTACCTTGGGACTTGTGTTTCTGTTGACGGCACTATCAGCAAAGAAGTTTCTCTTCCTATCGCTAAAGCCCGATCAGTATGTGCCAATCTGAGGCGCTTGTGGCGTCGTCGCGACGTCTCATTCTCACTAAAGAGCCGCGTTTACAGCGCATCAGTTCGCTCAGTGTTCTTGTATAGGAGCGAGTCCTGGCCGATTCGTGTAAAAGACATGCGTCGTCTTTCTACCTTCGAAAACGGTTGCTTAAGGAGGATCGCTCGTGTTTGGCGGCAATATCAACAGTAATGACGTTCGACTTCGCATCTTGGGGAATGCGAGTATTCACTTCAACAAACTGGTTTTGCTGCGCGTTGAGATGGCTCGGTTACGTCCTACGCATGGCACCTGAGCGTCTACCGCGTCGCCCTCTATGCATTCGTCAAGCACCTGGCTGGAGGCGACTGGGTGGTGGTCAGCCTTCCACTTGGCGACAGCACATGAAGTCGCTGACGTCGTGTCTAGCTACTGTTGGACCGTACGTCTTCCAGGATGGGGACCCAAAGATGAGGAGTGCCAATGGCTTAACACTCTTAAAGACATGGCCCGCAAGCGGAATTAGTGGAAGAATTGTGTACAGAATTGTAAAGATTCACATGTCCAATACTTCAAACATTGAAAAGGAAAAAAATCGGTATGTGAAGAACAAACCAAAAATGTTTTGTTCTACTTTTTGTCAAAATGTTCCATTCTTCCTGTGGCATAGTAGCTGGAGTGTTGTTCACCTTCAACTACTATGCCATGATGATTATGACACGATAACTTCCCCTTACCCGCTAATGTCCATGGTTTTGGTTGGCTCTGTCTAGTTGCTAGACTGTTGATATTACATACATATACCTCCATCATCGAAAATAAGAAAAAAACAAAGTGAGTGTAAAACAAACTAAAGTGTTCCGTTCTATTTTTGGTCAAACGCTATATATATATATATATATATATATACTATTTAACCGTGAACATTTTAGTGCTTTAACCGGTCCATTTGTAGAAACAAATCACTCGACATGAGTTGTCCCCATCTGTTAACTGGGAAGCGGTGACACACCAGCGAGGTTAAAATACTTCCATTTCGGCGTCAATAGCCAGGATGTACATTTTTACAGTGGGTAAAACAACAGTCCGAACAAGTTGAGCACACTTGCTATCAATGCCTTGAGTAGGTTGCCATTGTACATGCTTAAGTGGAAGGTTGATTATGCCCTGCTTGTGTCGTCGTCGTTCAACTGTTAAACCGTACATAGAAATCATTTAACCATAAAACTGGTTAATGAGTATAATCGTCTAGTTGCCATATTCGGGTGATTCCATGAATTGTGGGATTGAGGGCATATTGTTGCTCACCGTCACTATGAAGCGCAGCACTTCTTCCACGTGCGGAGAAGTCAACGACCTTACGGATCTGCTAGGATATGTGGCGGCGGATGTGTCCGGCTTCGTAGTTTAAGGCGGGTCAACCCCTCCGCATTCCGTCAGCAGGATGGACAACCTAGAGCAATGGTTTGCAACTTGGGGGTAATTAGCCCCAAGGGGGTAAAATGGAATTTTACGGGGGGAGTAAATATAATTACGAGGTGTGGGTCATAAATCTGTTGCCACACAAAATTAATAGCAAAAGCATCTATATCAAAACATGTAACCTAATCATCATTGATTAGCCATCAGTGATCGGTCAGTGAAGTAGACAGTTTCCGGTAATAAATTTTACAGCCTTAAATACGAATACAAGCCTGCAAAGCAGCGCAGCTAAATGGGGCCTGTATCGGCTCGGTCGTCGATCGTTGTTCCTTTGATCTAGGTCCTCTTCACCGGGTCGAATTACAGAGCTGAGTGAGCACTAAGGTGGAAGCGGGGGTCAGCTGACCAGGTAAAGGAGCGAGCAAATGTTTACAAGGTAGAAGGGACAAAACAGGCGATTAGTGTTCAGAACGAATCGATACAGAGTGGTAGTGGGAAGCTGTCATCCACTACGAATTGGGAAGGGATGAACGAAACAAATGGGAAGTCACAGTGACATCTGTTCAGGGGTCACACACACCAAAGCAAGGAACCGAATGAATCTGGGAGCACGGCTCAAGAAGTGCATTAACCGAAACCGCACCAAATGTGGCAGGAATTGCTAGAGCTAACCATACTGACTTACATCACCTATTGCTTTAAGAAAAAGTTGCTCGAAAATAGTGTTGATTTCTGTACTTGAATGATCGACAGTAATTCGAAATAGATCAAAAAATGCAATAGTTAATTATCTTACGCAGTAAAGCTTTTTCTGACATAAATGTTTATAATGAACCTGATTGGTTGGTAACCGATTCAAAGATGCTGAGAATCAATGACCTAGATAGTGAATTGGCGGACATAGTGTAAAGACCATACTAGTTCAGTGTGCTGATTTTCCAACAAAATATTGCACTAGATAAGCTCTTCAGTTTCAGAAATGGTGGGTTCAAAATGTGGCTTATTTTTCAAAAAGCAGATCAACAAAACCTTACAGCTGACAGTTGTCAGTGTTCATATTTTCTTGCTGAGAACGCAGAAGCTTGTAGCGGAGCTGCGGCAAGTGAGAAACTTGGGTATGACTGATTTTGAGTAGGCACGTGACTGAGCCATTCTGGATTGCTGATCAAGGGATTATCTAAACATTCATATCATGCGTTTGCCGCCCGATGGGTAATTTGGTGAGTTAAAAAATGAAAACCCAAAAACAACTCTGCTGTCGATTCTGTCTATGCATCAATTTCTGCGCCGGGAGACTCCAGAGTCTGTCGATGGGGTCTTTGAAGTTAAGATCACTGCCTTCGGACAACGAGTGGTGACTAGATAGATAGTGCTGTTCAACAAACGCTAATTTTGACGATATGCTGGTGATCTCCAGTACCACTTTAAAGGTGGTCTTAAGGTGTTACAATCCTTGTGAACTGGCGTGGGTCCAGCCCGCTTATTAAGTATATAATCCGTCACTTCCTGAACCAGCATTTCTTCATATCAATCTTGCCAAACTTAATGGGAAAAAACAAGGTTTGTGTGCAGTTCTTTATGTGAATGATTGCAGAAAATCTTGATTGTTTGGCGAGAATGTCCAAAAAGCGTTTCCATTGAGCCCCTGCGAATCTACAGTTTAACTGTGTGTGTTCCTGCCCGTCACGAATGTCCACCACATTTGCCAGTTAGGTATGTTCAATCGGTTCTTCCGCTTTGTCTAAAGCCTCCTGTTTTAGGAACGTTGCTTCAGCGACTTTCTTCTCATTGCATTGATTCCGCGTTCCTTCCGGTCTTTCTGTTAAACATGGATTAAGTCGACAATATGGTGAGAGAATCAGCTGTGCAGTAAAATTCCTAGGTATCATCGTTTACCTAGTACACAGTATTTCCACTACAAGCTGAACTCGGTTCTTTTCATAAAATAAATCTTTTATTTCTCGACAGTGCGAAAAACTGTTCCTGCACTGCATCAACTCAATCAACTGGGGCCACTCCTTCTAGTTCTACCGTGCTTATCAGAAAAACGAGCCAGGTTAAAGTGTGAGGCTCCGCATTAACATGTATGGATGTACACAACCGCTCGCTAACAACAACAGTATTTGACTTGCCTGTATTGTATGGCTCTTGCTAACATCTTGGTGTTCTTTTCTGTGGTCCAGCTTGTCCGTCTCTATTTCGTGAATTGACACAATGTCCTGAGTAAACAGAAGCGATGCATACAACAGATGTGAGACGATTTGTTTGAAACTAGCGAAATGTGTGACACCACCTGAACAGATGGTTGTCAGAACACAAACGGCTATATACCTAATTTTGCCTTCCACTATGCAACAAGCGGTCTTTTTACTTGATGTAAATGGAACAGTGATTACGTGTGGCACTGCAGCAATGCACCGGAATGTTTGGCATTAACTTGCGCACAATGCTCAGACCTCATCAGAAGTGCTATATCGCGCAGTGTTTAGAATTAAGCTGCGCTAACTTTGACTCCTAAGCCTCAAAGAGTGTGTATAAAAGATCAAACTGGAAAAGCTATTCCGTTACCGTAGTGATGTCTGTCTTTTGTGCATGTAGATTACAGCCTGCTTCAGCTGCTTGGCACTGTCGGTACCGGGCGACACCATCGCGTCGGAAACAAGGTGCACAGTCGAATCATAGACATCAACGGACGCATCAGTTAGTTAGACTGTGGTTGGGGCGCGTACTGCGTATGCTTATCCGCCGGTTACCGAGGACTGGCTTAATGCAATCAAATATCCAGTGATTCACGATTCGTAGAGGACAACCACTAACCTAGCAAAGGAAAATCGCATCGTCAATAATTGCCTTAAGTGTCATTAATCCATCTCGCACTCCAGGCTGAGGTCCATGTGACCCACCTGCTTCTCGACTCTGGACAACGAAACTCATAACCCACACCAGTGGTTTGTGTCGTCTCTTCTCAACAGAGCTGAACGCATAACATGTATGTGATGTCGAGCTGTTTGCGATGTAAATATTCCAATGACGAGGATGGTGAAAAGCTATAAGGAGTTGTCCGATCAATGTTGCCTTAGATGCACCCCATAGGCAGTTGCAGGTGACTGCCTTGTGATATTCCAATAGTACGGGCTCCTCATACTTACTTGATTGTATAGTGCCTTGAGAAACGGATTTGACTATCAATTAGAATGTTACTGCTTTCCCATTGACAGTTTTATCTCTCTTAGTTACGGCTGGCCTGCCGAACAACCTCTAGATGGTGCCAGCAGGGTGGTTCGGGTTAATCCCGGTCCAGCTAATATTTCGGCGGCAGTGTTCCAGGAGGTGGTGGGGTTTTGGCTGGCAAGCGTTCTCCCTATAAAACGCCACAAATGTCTACTTAACAGCACCGTGACGTGGTGGGTATGGCTCGCCAGTAAATAAAGTCACTACTTTGCCACACCAGAGGATCTTACCCATTTCGCGAACGCCAGCCAGTTCAAAGATTTTATCTGATGTCAAACAGCAGCCAATCATTCGAAATGCCGATACCAAACAAAAGACATGGAATAAAGTAAAGGTATATGGCGGCATAAATACTCGATAAATGAGCATATGGAGGAAAATGGTTACAAGCGAATCCGCGATAAGTACGAAATGCCCGAAAGTTTTAAAAAAATACCACGTGATAAACCTACACAAGTTTACCACAATTAGCATGAGCGACGTGTGCAAGTTAGGAGAAGATTATCAGGTACGCAGAAGAAACCAAATAAAGTGGAATGAATTTTATCCAGCTTAAAGAGACCTAGTTTAAGTGTAAGTTGGTTTAGCCCAACTGCGGTGAAGAAGCATCAAGAATGCAACATCAGCCTCAGCATGGGGCAAAAGCCTACCTGAATAATCTGCTAACTTACACACGTTGCTTACGCCAATTGTGGTTATCTTCGTTAACTTTATCGCGTTTATGGCATTTATCGTATAATTTGTGGACATTTTGTATTTATCACGAATTCGTTGCTACCAAACTTACTTCATATGCTAATTTAGCGAAGAGTTATGTCACCGTATCTCTATGCATTATTCAATTTATTTTACTTTATCTTGTCGTTTCAAGTGATTGGCTATTGCTTGATATCTCCGGTGTGGCTGCACTTGATGTGCTTGTTGACAAGGTGCCTACCTGTCTATTACCCACTACCTCGTTCATACTGGCTCCTGGCTGCTGGAGGGGACGGGGTGCACGGTCCTTGTGATCGTGCTAGGCTCGATGTACTCAGTATGGAGCGGACTACGGCCCAGCCACCGCCTTGTGTGCGCTTGATTCCCCAAATACAGCGTGCTTGTGTTTGCCTGTGAAGGAGTGTGGGCCGGCTCTGTTGATGTAACGTGTTTCCCATCCACATACCTTCCTTAGGGTTTACACTGGATATGGGGTGTGTGGTTGGAGCTGTAGGTGGTGCAGCGCAAGCTATCCATGGTCTCTCTGTAGGCGCAGGCCTCCTGTGGCTGGCCAGAGTGCAGGCAAATCCGAAATCGGAAGCCGCCAATTATTCGGGTAGGCAGAACAAACCCATTAAAGTGAAATGAAATTTATTCAGCTTAAAAAGACATCGTTTAAGTGTAAGTTGGTTTAGCCCAACTGCGGTGGGGAAGCACCATGAAATGCAACATCAGCCTCAGCATGGGGCACACTTAAACATACACCCATATGCATACACACCTATATCCAGTATGCACCGATTAACTTGTAACATTTCTGTACCATTACTGATGTTACGCGCTTGTATTACCATGATCGTGCCTGAATGCGTATCTCGCCCCGTCGAGAATAAATTATTTATTTATGGCCCCAGAGTAGTGCAGCAGTGGTTCGAAGTAAAGTTGTACGGGCAGAAATTTGATGTTGCGCGCCTCGAACAAACTGTACTCTATGACCGATTTCCAAGTTATTTGCGCTCTTCAGGTAGAAATAACAGGTCTCAAACCCAAGACCGGGTCACGACAGGCAAAGATTGGAACAACAATTAATGACTGATTGGAGTGTCATTTTGAAGTACTACTTGTATGATTGGATTACAACGCGTACTCTAAATGTAGACCGTGACTCACAATAAAGCGAACCTTGGGCATATCGATAACTAGGAACGTAGTTGGGACAAATGGAAAGTGGGTGTTGCCCGCTCGAAAACACTGGAATCCACAACGCGTTTGGACCAAGAGTAACTTCGTGGCGAATCACGGTCCACACCGAGATGGCACCTCTGAATCCAATCACAAAACTAGTATTTCAAAATGAATCTCCAGTACAGATATCACGTTTTCGTTTATTAGGCTAGCACCCATAATATAAAAGGAGTCTGGACGCTACCTTATCGTCAATGAAAAGCGTTAGTGGATCAATATTTGTCGCTCCGGACATCATTTCTGGTCCGGGATTATGCTTTGGGAAGTTAAGACTACCAATGTGCACCTGATGGAAGCCATTGGTAGTGACCATGTCGGCGTACCAATCCGTTAAACTGTAGTACATGCTAGAAGGTACACCGCAAAACCCATCTGGTTCAGTCGGTAAGCTTGCATGTGTTCTACTTTACTCAATGGTAGGATATATAGGGTGATTTAAAATGGTTTGGGATACCGGAAGCTCGGTCCAACGATTCACTGGTTCGTTAGTTCACGGAGTTTGACTAGTTGGTTGCATGTTTCGTCACCATGCGTGGTGGAATTGTCAACGCGGTGATATGCAGTATGAAAATTGCACATTGCTAACGCCTGAAAACTGCGTTTAATTCCGCTGACCACATCACTTTGGCATATCATCTAGAAACGAAAGATGAGCCTTTGAAGTTAACTTTTATTCTGGTATCCCTGTATGACGTTCTTACAGCCATGCGCGCCCGTGGAATTGGAGATGAGAAAACGAACCGTATATCAAAACCTCGAGGCGCTTTTGCTAACCTTAACCACTAATGGCGCCGGTGGGACATCACTATCACCCTGAAGGTTAGAGTGTACAATGCAGCGATACGTTCTACCCTACTGTACGGTTGTGAAACCTGGCCCCTTGGATGAGCAGCTATAAAGAGGCTAGTTACGTTCGACCGCCGGTGCCTTCGCAGTTTGGCTCACATCTGGTGTGAACACTGCGTGAACAACAAGCGTGTTCGACACCTTGTTTACGGAACAGGAAAAGGAAATGAACCGCTCAGCACCGTCATTTCACGCACCAAGCTCCGATGGCTCGGCCACGTGTTACACATGCCAGCCCACCGACTTCCATTACTTGCGTTGTTTGCTCACCGGGGGTGTGGATGGAAGAACAGGAGAAGTGGGCAAGCGATGATTTGATCAAGAGGAATGAACGCCTTCACTTCGAAGCTGGTCTCAGTTGGAGCGTCTCGGCTCCCTCGTTGGGGTCCTAAGAATGATGAACACTGACTGGATCATCATCATTATACACGTTAGCTTGAGGTTTAAAAACACCTCAGCTATTGTGCCGCAATAAATAAAAGAGAAAGAATAGAAATACAGCAGTTGCATGCCGGCTGAGCTACCAGCAACGGATGAGCATCGTCCCAGTAAGCTGTCAGCCAGCTACTAGGCAGTAAGAAAAAAATGTTATGTAAAATGAGGTTACGCTGCGAAATGAGATCGTGGTTATAGGGGGAGGCTAAAAGACATGGGGAGGGACATGGAAAACCACAGCAGGAACGCCACTAAGGTCGGCTCCCAGCCATGTCAGCAAGTGTATATAGTCAAACGTGTTCATTGACTTTTGGACACCAACCAGGGAGCTGTGAAGCTCCAACCGAGGCAACTCCGAAGTGGTGACCTTAATTCCTCTCGACCAAACCATCGCTTGCCCACCCCTTCTCTTCTTCCATCCACAACCCCGGTGAGCAAACAACACACGTCGCGGGAGTCGGTGGGCTGACATGCGTAACACGTGGCCCAGCCATCGGAGCCTGGTGCGTGAAATAACGGTGCTGAGTGGTTCAGTTCCATTTCCTGTGTCGTAAACAAGGCGTCGAAAACGTTCGTTGCTCAAGCAGTGTTCCTACCAGATGTGAGCCAAACTGCGAAGGCACCGATGGTCGAACGTAACGAGCCTGTTTATATCCACTGATCTAAGGGGTCAGGTTTCACAACCATACAGTAAGGTCGGACGTACCGCTGCATTGTACACTCTACCCTTCAGGGCGACAGCGATGTCGCCATAGGTTGCGAAGGATAGCAAAAACACTTCGAACTTTTGATATTCGGTACGTGATCTCATCTTCAATCTCACAGACGCTGATACAACTTCCCAGGTAGTTGCATTTTTGAACGACTTCTAACTGATCCCCAACAAGGGTCAGCGCAGGATGCGATCGTTGCAAATCTTGGAGGAAAGCTTTGCACTTCAATGGTGCAAATCAAAGCCCGAAGCGGCTGACAGCCAGTGCTAATCTGTCCAGTGCAGCTTGCCACGTCTGGGAGCTGTCACAGATGAGGACAATGTCGTCTGCATACTCCAAGTCAAGAAGTCGTTCTCCTCGGAGTAGCTCCACACTTTCTAAGTTGTCTACTGTAAACATTATCTCCATGACTTCGTCAATAGCAAAGTTGAAGTGGAAAGGTGACAACCGGCATCCTTATCTCACACCGCTGGATCTATTAAGGGCGACGACAACTTGCTGTAAGCCCTCACTCTGTCTGAGCTACGCGCGTAGAATGCTCGAACAATATTTACATATTTCTCAGGTACATCTTTCCTGAGTAGACAATTCCAAAGGGCACATCGATCAACCGAATCGAAGGCACCTTTGATGTCGAGGAACACGACTACGGTGGGCCGCCAATATGCGTGACGGTGATCCAACAACTGACACTAGGTGCAGACGGGGTGAATGCAGCCACGACTACGACGAAACCCGGCTTGCTGCTCACGAATCTGGCTTTCACGAGCGCCAATCAGTCTGTGAAGAATTATGGAGGCGAGTAATTTGAGGCGATGGGGATCAGACTGGTTCCTCCATGATTGCCGCATTCCGAACGCCAGCCTCCTTTGAAGATGAGAATAATAAAGGAGCGGCTCCAATCGGTTGGCACAGTTTCTTGCTCCCGTAGTTTTACCAGTAATTCATGTAAAGCATCAACAAGAGTAGAGCCCCCGAATTCGAAGAGGGCTGGAGGAAGATCATCTGGTCCCGCGGTTTTGTTCAACTTCAACAGTCTGATCAGACATTCGACTTCTGAGCGAGAGGGCGGATCTAAAGGGACAGCCCATGGAGCAGGGAGATCACTTGCCGGTGAGGAATCGAACAATTCCGGCTGATTAAATTGCTTTTCAAAATGCTCAGCCCAACGCTTCAAACTTTTTGATAAATTGTGGATAGGCTGTCAGCTCTCAACGGAACTCCCGCACGAGCGGTTATGGCAGCCAGGAACCGTGCTTACAAGCACAGGAACTGAGGCTGACATACAACTGGAAAGTGGGGAAACAGTGTGTAGGCACAATGATTTCATCCCTCCCCGCACCTCGGCCGCACTATACCCTGAGGAGGAGGAGTAGGGAGTTGTTACAGAAGAGCGTGAAGAGACGGACAAAATCCAAAGAGATGAAGCCGATCAGGCGATGGATATACGAAAACCACAACGTTCACTTAAACCGATAGAACGTCACGCTTTACAATGGTGTTTTCCTCTGTCACGTGAAAGGGTTACGGCCGCACGTGTTGACATCACTCAACCAATCACAAACTCACGCGATTGAGCGAACAGTATTGCCGCATTAATCGATACTAACTGGCCTTTTAGCCTTGTTCTGATTGGCTCGTTTCACCGTTTAGGCTTTCTGTTTCAATCCATGTGTGAGAATTAAATTTCACGTGTGTCACACGGTTGTGCCTTTTCATTCCGAGTTCAGTAATACTTGTCCAAATACGAAATAAGAATACTTGAGCAATACGTAACCATCTATGTTAAGTGCATGTGGTCGCACCCAAAAATTACAGCACTATCGATCCATTTTACACTAAGCTGTTATTTAGTTTGTTTGTTACCCATAACGTTGGTCTTTCCTGGTTAATCTTTATTACCTCAATCGTGCTTCGCCGTTGCGACCATGGCACTTCGAATGAAGTGAAGTAAAAGCGAGTCAATCGATATTTACACGCACTGTTTCGATCTTCCGTTAAAAGTACTTTACATTACGTACATGTAGGGTATCCATGGTACACCCCTTGTCATCTTTATTTGCTGCATCCGCTTTCACTTGTGGGTTCTGCCAAGTGCCGGATTCAAGGTAATCTCCGCAGTCAGGCACACTGAATAACTGCGATCTCCTCATACAGTGAAGTACGTCAGGAATGGCGTTTCGATCCCGGGCTTTAGGGATTTCAGGATGATGAATGGGTTCCAGGGTGGCATGAATCCTATCCTCCGTCACTGAACGAATAAACGTATTTGAAAAGGTTACAATAGAACAATGATTTAATATGAGTAAAAGAACAAAAGCTAAACAACTGCCGTAGGAGTGTTGGGCAATAACTTCCTACTCAAAGATGTACGTGACCAACACGGAAAACAAAGCACCTCTGGGCTGACCATAATATTCACACAAATGTACATCCACCTCTGGATTTCATAGCACGGAGAGGAAATGATAAAAGCGTTTGTTCGTGTTACACTTTTTACCGGGTTATAACACGTAGTGCATTCATCCCGATACATCACCAAGCCCTTGTGAATAGAGTTAGCTTGAAGACTAAAAAATATGAATGTTATATAAGCATTCCACACCTGACAAATGTAATAGAAAAGCTTTCCGACAGTATTTCAACTAGTCATAGTGTGTAGCTAAGTTCAACTGGTGGGTCGCCACTTTCGTGTTGTGGCTAACTTTCCGAGGTTTAGTGTTACTGTGATTTGCGAAGCTTTAGGTCAACATGATTTCAACCCGTAGGTACGGGTGCTTTCTAATTTGTACTCAGGCTAAGATGCTATGTCGGATAGAACAAGCCCAAAACATTCGTGAACTCTCTTTGCTTTGTGGTCGGGAGTGCAGAGCAGCCACACCTGATTGGTATAGTTCACATGGCGCATGACACAGAGCCATATAAGAATATTTCGATTAAAATGTTGAAGAAGGTAGTGGGAGGACAACCATATGGAGCAACACCAAAAATAGTGAACCCAAGGGCCAATGGAGCTGTAGTAGAGTGGATTAAGAAGAGAAGGATACTCCTCAGATGCGTTGAATATGAGTAAGCCAACGCTAAAAAAGGACGCGAGCGACTGGTTTGTATGTTGGTGTTCAAGGTTGTTAAAGTGTGTAAGGATATTCAAGCACATGCTGAGGTGCAAAAGCAGGTTCAGTACAACCCCTACAATATATATATATATATATATATATATATATATACCACAATCCGCGGTACAGATATTGTGCCACGGAATGATGATGGGATAGGAAAACAGGATCGGAGTAAAAAGGAAGGAAAACGGCCAACCAATTTTGTCCAGATTTCCACTCAGTTTTTGAGATTTTTGAGTTTGTTTTATTAGGGAAACGAAAGGGAATCACTGAAACGCGCGTAGATACACGTCGCTACTTAAGTCATGACTTCCAGAGTATTCAGCTGGCGACATTCCGTATCTCTAGGACCACAACTAGGGAGTCGAGAACAACAGACTGTCAGCTTTTTCGTTTCGCTTCCCATAGCCGTAGGCTGTACACCGCGCCGCCTCCTCCAGCCCAGTCCAGTAACCACGAACAATGCACGATGCGGAAGAGGCTAAACGGGCATGCACAATACGTGTCTAAGCCGCCGCAATTGACGCAGCAAGACGAGCGTCTCAAGCAAGTAGCAGCCACCACCCAAGACACGCTGTCTAACTTCAACCTTGGTTACGTGTTGCAGCCAACACACACGGGCAATTGACCGCAGGCAACGGTTCTCGCAGACGGGCAATCGACGCAGGTTAAATACGAACAGGTCATGTTCCGCAACAGTAAAGCGCGGACAGCCACAAAGTAAACCCGCCTGTTAATGGATAGACGGATATCACGGAGACGCCACATGTGCCTCAGTTTGGAGAAAGCAAGACGAGCTCTTGAGGTACGCATCAAAATCTCGTCTCCAACAAGCGCACCAGCAGAGATGCAGCTTCCCAGATAGACAAGTCACAATCTTCCGTGTCTCACCGCCAATGGTGAGCGTATCTACAGGCATCTGCCAGTCCTGAAAAATGTTTCGCATTGAGATGCATGTCAAACTTTGATGCTTCAATCACTAAGCGGTTAAGTGCAAGTTAGACGACATGTGGACTGTCACCCGGCGAAACGAAATTATCAGCGTAGTCCGAATCTGGTGCTCGATCACCTAAAAGGAGCTCAACACCAGCGTCCATGGAATCTTCTAGAGGGTTTTTGAGACATCCTCAATGGAAAATTCGGAGAGGATTGTGGAGATAGGGTATCTTTGTCGAATTCTACTGGTGACATGGGAGGAAGGCGAAAGCATGACTTAAGCCCTAACTCTACCCGAGGTCAGACTGTACATAGGACGCACCAAGGGAACGAACTTCCAGGGGACGTCATTCCTCAGCAGACATTGCCACAATTCGGTCCTATAGACAGAATCAAAGGCAGCACCGATATCCAGGAACACAACAATCGTTGGCTTTTAAGACACATGGCGGAGCTCGAGGATTTGGCGGAGTGTGAAAATTTGACAGATGCGTCAGTGACCAGGGCGAAACCGAGACTGTTCTTCCCGGTGTGGATTTTCGCGCATTGGGGATAGCCTGCAACTTATGACGGACTCCAGGAGCTTGCAAACGATGGGAATCAGGTTTATATCTCTGTAATTGGAACCCAATGTGTGCAGGCCCTTTTTGAAGATGGGGACGACTATCGACTCACCCCAAGACGAAGGAATCACCACTTTTGAGCCGGCTTTCAAAAACAAAGCGGTGAGTTCTCGATTCAGCGAATAGCCACTAACTTCAACCAGAGAAGGAGGCAAAGCACCAGGGTCGTGTGCTTTATGACGCTTCAGAATGGAGTAGTTCCTGCCAGATTTCCTGCTGAGAGGGAAGACCGGTGGGGTTGGACCACAGCACCAGTACATGCTCTAGAAGAGGCAGATGGAGTTGGCGGCCAGTGAAACCTCGAGCCAAATGGTTCAGCCCGTTGTTCCGAAAATCATTGAAGACTAAGCTCGGTGAACCATCTTCTTCTCAGATTGTTTTGCTTACACCAGATCGGAAAACTTCGGTGATTTGAATGAAATGGAAGAGTATTCTGATCTTATTAGAGGGACAAGGAAGTTCTATCTCTCCAGCACTTTCACATCACCAGACCTCAAGGTCTTTGTAAGCGTAATTCTCGATGCATGGGTCGGCATACCTCCCTACAGCTGGTGTCGACAGGGACCGAGCGGCATCTGTCAATCAGCAACAAAAAGACAGCAGTGATCCAGTCTTTCAGCGAGTAATAGGTAACCACAATTATCAATGCTAGCATTAACTAAGCCATAGTGAATTCAGATCATCGTCAGAAGCTGAGGCAAGCATTGTCGATAGAGAGGCTTGGCACTTGGATAAGGTCGTAGTGCCTTGTGGATTTTCGACGTTCACAAACCTAGTCGTAAGTCATTTAAGTACATTTAAATTTACTGCCATAGAACCACGTTTACGATTTCCGCTACATCGAGTTTTGATCATTTTGTCTTGGGAATCAAGCTGTGTGTGAAACTCGGCTTACAGATTGCAATATTTCATCTAGTGGCACTAACACTATCTACAAGTTGAAACCGGTAATCCATTAAAACTCAGTTACCCTATAATAAAAAACGCATTTCTTCTAGCATATCAGTATGATTGGGTTCAATACAAGTTATTACGTATGAAACTGCTACCTGTATCTGGTCGAGACCGAAGATGCTGTCTTAGGCGGTTCAGAGCTTCGCGCTGTTTTTCGATTATCTCTAGGTGTCTTTCACATTGACATATGTCACCAAGAACTGCAAGTTCTTCCAAAATTTTGGCGTCCATGCTCTTCGTATCCAAGGTCTGGGTCTGCTTCTGACTCTGCGAAGCCAAGCGTTCGCTCAACTCAATGATTTTTTCATCTCGTTCCGCCAACCGTTGCTTGAGAGTTCCTACTGCCGCTTGCGTTATTCTATGGCATAAACGAATAAAAAGGGAAAAATTAAATATTGCGGAATTTCAGGAGGAAAGCATACACAGTAAGAAGCTCCCGAGTTAATCAGCGTGACAGTCATTGTTGGTACGTCTTAGTTACAGTCCCTAGCACTGTTCTGCGAACAACAACAGCTGTGTGCTCAACTGTGCCTCCATACTTACTCTTGTGTTAGAACCGCAGGGAATAATTAACTTAATGGTGCAATAAATGATGTTAAGTAGCAGTTCTATTAGTTTGATCTTACGCTTGATCCCGAACGTGAGGCACTGGAATTTTAGGCGATCAGTATGTTTAATAATATTATTCCGAGAAAGGGGAATAATCCACAGTAGTGCCACTTACCTGAGACATCACTGGCTTGTTCGCCCAGCTGGAAAGTTCGTTTTTGGGAATTACCCGAAGCTCTGAACCTGTCAACAAAGCCACTACTCGAATGTGTCAGCAATGCCGTCTCGATTAGAGACGAATGATTCAATCATATTTCACGGTTTGGCGCACAAGGCTATTAGTCAACACTCAGTCCGAGTCGACGGTACTTCGTTTGGTGTGAATTAGCTAACCATTCATGTCTATTCGCCTTAAGAGAACCACCGGTGGGCATATCATCTGTCACCACACTGTAACTTTCATGTTGCAAAACCTTTTCATGCGATAAGTACCAATGTTCACGGTTCCCCAAAGGCTTCACAGCGTCATTCATTTACGCTGGGTAGGACATGATGTGCAGTATTTTCATTGACCAGACCAAATGTCATGTGAAGCTTAAGCCGCTTTTTCATTTTCGACTAATTGATGAGGTCAGTCACAAGACTGACACCCCATGACCGGTTTCGTCCTTGTGTGGACTCATCAGATAGAGACAGCCTGAGCTAGATGGAACGCGGAGCGTAGTGACGCCTTGATCGCTATGCCACTAAGATCCGTGAGCAACGCTTGCTAACTGTTGCAAACGTTTCGTCACCAGTCGAGGTGACATCATCAGTGTGCTAGTGTGTCGCGGAGCGGAGCCACGCGTAAGTAGGTGTGAACCGGGTCCAAATAAACTCGCCTTGAAACCTTTTGTGCATTGTTACCATTAAACGGATTTCCATTCAAGGGGGTTATCACACAATTTTCATCGATCTACCTTATTTCTTCACCTTTCTCAACCAACTGTCTTCGAAGCCCATCAGCCACCCCATTCATTTGTTGCAGTTGTCTACGAACAGTGTTCAGTTCTGCAGCGGATTTTCTTCCATAATCCACAGCTGCTTCCATCTCTTCCTTCTGAGATTCAGTGAGTTCCCCTTTTAAGTCGCTTAGTCGCGCGTTTGAACTGCGCAGATTAGCCTGCAGTTCCTCGATAGTTTTGTCCCGCTTTTCGAGCACTTCTTTTAAATCAGATATCTCCTTTCTAAAAATAACGAAAGCAAGGTTATAGTGTATGCACATATGTCGTAGGTAGGTTCAATTGCTGGTGCGATAGATTAAAATACTCATTTTACGTGCGTTCTATAATGACTGTAAAGGGTTCTTTTTCATGAGATCGGATATCAATTTGCTTGCTAATTCAAGTTTCGGTTTCCATGGACATAGCTCCCCTCCGAACAAAGCTCTGTTTCATGAAACCTATGCGGATCGAAAACTTGACATTCGGGTTCAGCCATTTACAACTGTAGTAGTGTGCGAAGTGCAGATTTTTTGTTGTTCCGAATAAACCTAAAAAACCGGTGAATCAGTGAGTGTAGAAAGACCGTCAATATAACTCTAAAACAGTTTACACAGCTAGGTGCATTTTTACACCAATCACAGTGATACAACTTATCTTAAGGACAGGTTTCTCCAACCACGAGTTGTTTGTGCAGTCAAAATTGAGCTACACCCACAGATCATTGAAACAATCAAAAGCAAATGGGTCTAGACAGGTGAATAAGTTAGTTGGCTACCATTGAGTCGGCCCTATGTTGTAAGACATCTTCGAAGAAGTGGTACAATTCGTATTGATGGCCGCGCGCAAACATTTTTGTCGGTTAATCAGGCCAATTTTATATCTTTCCGGGCTAACTTCAATCTCTATAATCCCATAGGTACGGCTGTCAGATTAGTATAAAGCTGCAAATATACTTGGAAAAATTGCAAATCTGTTTATGAGGTTACGCTCATTGGCACGCGCTTACCGCATTGTGGCCTGATCATGTATGGCAGCCACAAGGTTTCCGCACGTTAGCCCTTGCATTGTCGGATGGTGGGCTTCGTCAACCGATCTAGACTCGTGTGTATTTCGCTTGAATTGGCTGATGAGTTGGTTGTGCACTGCTTGAAGTTCTGTAAATGCGGTAAACGGAAAGCTCTAATCGGGCTACACAGATTTTAACATTTGCGATCATGTGTGAATATTGTGGCTGGATAACTGTTTCTGCAGAGCCGCGAGACACCATTTTCCTCTGGTCGGTCTGCAGCTTGAAAATTTAAACTAGAAGTAACATCCACCGGGCGGGTTTGACTGCCTGCACTGCAGTATCACTTGCTCCTGGGCAACCACCGTTGCACATCCGCTAGACATTGTCAAGCCAAAAGGAACGCCATTCAATCACTTTATCATTACCACAGTAGTCTTCCAGAAAGACAGATTATTATATCTACCAAGTAGCACCAGTTAACAGCCCTTCGCAATCACGAGGCAACACCATTAACGCGCTTTAGTCTCACTGAAAGAGGTAGGATACACAGAAATACAGTTCAGTTCAACAACGAGTCCTATGAGCCTAGAGGGATGAATATTCAGTTGTTACACACACGCCTTTAGCATTATAGAAGGAATAAAACTTAAAAACAGTGAGTACACGGGCAGGTTACTAGTTAGCATAGACAGCAGTATGGTTACAAAGCAAACTTGCTTGTAAACTCCAGACCAACTGAGGTCTGGTCGCACAAAAACGTGCAAATATGGATTGATGGTTGCGTGGTACGCCATTGTACAAGCATAAATTATCTATACTTTGTCTGATCAAGGAAGTCGATACACAGTCAAGCAGTGCCTCATGAAGTATTTTTGAAGTGAGCCTTTTGCATGAAACGCCATCGGTAGACACAAAAACATAACAAAAATCGGCTTTGAAATGCCACAACCTCGAAACAGTTGATTTAATTAATTATATATTAATTAAGTATTAATTAATTAATTATATAACTGGAAATTAGAAAGGCTTGCTTAGTAAACTAGGTGATGATGGGTCGTAGTATTAAGCAGCCGGGGATGGAACAGGATCCCAACCGAGGAGCATAGAGAGAAAGCCTCCCGACTTTTGTGAATACTTCACATGCAGTGACCGAGAAGGATGACAGCTGAGTATGACACCTTTATACTTCCCTGACACGGTGGAGTGCAACCTCTTACCGCATACGTAAAATTCAGGGCATTCTGTGAGAAACTGCTGATAACGACGGCCTTTGTGTAAGGAAAAAGAACATCATTTCATTTAATGTATCGAGCTCTAGACTACAATGCAAGGTAATCCAGATAGGCTTGTGATTGTGTGGATGGGACTGTGATCCGATGTTCCATACCCAGGAGTACGTCATCACCGGATTTCAGCACCATCCCTTTCTTAGAGACTGGTAATGAGGCAATGTAAGTGGAAAAGAGGCATCGGGACAGTATAGCTACACAAAGAATAACGGGGGCTGTAGTGAGAGGTGAGTAAATTTAACCCCAAATTCGGGTAAATTGTGCACGCCCAGTGAAATAGTACCTCATAAGGTGGACGGTAGTAGGTCGAATTCTGACATTATATAGATCAAACAAACGACGTTCACGGTTTACACAATCTAAAACACTACCGTAATCAAGAAAAAAATGATCCAACGGATTTGATCTTGTTGTCTAGGGTTGCCAGCATTGAACGTGTGGGGTTGGTCAAGGAGTCTTGTGTAGACCTCAAACTCCGATAAACAAATCGGAGCTGATGGCCTGAACGAGTTGGTGTCAGCACTCTTCACACATAATCTCGAAGTTTACTGAAGTGTGAGCAGTTGGACAGTAATTCTTTGCACATTTCTTCAGCACGAGAGTAATACTAGCACTTCTCCAGCAGCCAGTAAGTTTGTTACTTCAAGCACAACGTGTGGATGGATCAGTAAGAGACTCCATCAAGCAATGTGCGCATTCGTTGAGAACAATCAGATACATTCCGGCCTGGTCACTTGCCCTGTTGGAATTCAAATACAATAGTTTATTGTGTACGGTATTGCTGTCGATGGCTGATAAGGAGGTTGTGGGTCAGTCCAAACAGGAGAAAAGCTGGTAAGAAGCGGAGTTAGCATTTACACGACAAGTCCTGCGGTCCGAACATTCAAGGTCGACATGTGGATTCGACACTTAGTGAAAGACTTCATCAAATTGCTTCACTGACCGCCAGACCTCCCAACAGCTATTACTTCCGAGAATAGGCTTGGCGGCAGGTGGTCAAGATGGCGCAACTTTAACCCGCTTGCAACAGAAAGAAGTTTAAATGCAATGAAGTCTTTACTTTTAAACGTTTCTGTGAGTCTATGCAATCGTTTATGGTGATGAAAACAGATCCCCACCAACGAAAACGGTCACTCGTAGACATTAGAAATTAAAAAAAGAAATGGAGCCAGCTTTTGCTTGGTCACAGTACGTACATGCATCAGCGTCGAAAAACACTAGAATCTGTTCATGCAATCATATCCCTTAGTGGATATACGTTCAAAGTTGAACATTGTCAAAGTATCAAGCCGCGAAGCTCATAGCGAGTAACCATATAATTTACCTTGTATAGGCGACAGGTGGTAAAAAAACATTTCAGCGATTTGCGCTACCCATCAGTGCCTGATTGGACACAAAAAACTTCGCACTGTCAACCAATATAAGCCATATGAAAAATTCAAGTCTGGTAGAAGAGTTGACAACATTTCCCAGTCCGAGATCTGCATGAAAAGCGGAGTCAATTCTGTTGGAAATCTAAGGCAAAAGTGCAGAAGGAAAAAAACAATGTGATAACCTCCAGCTTCAGAATATAAGTCGGTTTTTCTATGAGCTTGTATTGTGACAACGTTTTAGACCTTAACACAAGAGCTTCTTCAGGCCAGGTGATCTAGTACAGATTCGGCTTAGCATTTTATAGCAATTAGAATAATGGTCGCGCGAGGTAACTCGGGTCGTTGGAAAAAATGTGGTTACAGTTTCCAAAAGTCAAGAGGTCAATCTGGTGAAACCACGACCATGGAGCTATTCCAACTGATCCGTGTACTGGGTCATCCACATGTGAGGATGTTGCTCTTGGCTTTATTGGTGCTCGATCGGCATTTCCGCTGCAACCTGAGCCCGTCTGCCAAAGCTGCTCAGACTGGCCGAGTTCAAACAGCCCGCCACTCGTTCGATAGTTCCACGCCGTCTGTTCTGTTTACGCAATTAGTGGCCTTGACGATTTCTAGCGCCTCAGCAATTAATCTTTGGCTTGTCATTCTTGCTTCCCTCCTAATAATCTCTACATTGTTCCAGTAGATTACGTGTCCTGAGTCTAGCGCACGTACCTCTACCGCCGAATCTTTTAGTAAATCCTTGTATTCAGGCTCAATTTTTGGTGGACGCGAAACGTACCTTTAGTGTTCTGCTATCCTAGTGTGTAGTTCTCTCCCTGTTTGGCCTATGTACACTTGCGCACAGTCCCTGCAACTAAGTTTATAGAAGCAATTGCTCGTCCTATCTTTTGGAAGTGGATCCTTAAACGCACCTGTGTTGAACGGAGCGTTTGACCACTTTGGAAAACCGCGCTTATATTCTCATTGTTTAGCATCCGCTTGATCACTTCAGAGTTTCCTCTTTATAAGGGATTCCCACCGTCCCAATCCACTCCGTCGTACGTTTTGATGGTGGGTTTAGCGCTCTCTGCAAATGACGTTTAACTAACCGCCTCGGATATCCACTACCTATTAATTTGTTCATTGCCTCTTTCCGTGCGGCCCTCCTGTCCTCTTCCTCTGTGCACAGAGTCTGGGCCCTATGAAACAAAGAGGATGCAATCGCAGCATACATGTATTTCGGATGACCTGAACTATAGTGTAATACTCCATCTGTATCTGTCAGTTTTCCATATATGGTTGCTTTTAGCCGTCCTCTGTACCTGTGAAAAAACAATCAAGGAATGGCAGTGTAGCCCCGCAAGATTGAAGTTCCATTGTAAATTTTATGAACAATGAACAAAGATTTTATATGGGTTAAGAAGCATTACATTACAAGACGCGTTGAGTGGTCTCTTGGGTTAGAAGAAAAGGTTAATGCAGAAAGCTGTTTGTAGTTTTACTGTCAAAATAATAGACTTGTCGTTTTGATTCAGTAGCCCTGCACTCCGAGCGTTTCCATGGCTTCAATAGGCGAATAAGAGTAAATCCAAAATAATTCCCGGGAGGAGGATGGAGAGTAGCGTCAAGTAACAAAATGTAAGTGGCGGAGTGCATCATCCAACCGACTTTTAAACATAGCTAGCGTGGGTGCAGAAACAACAGATTCGGGGAGAGCGTTCTGTGGTTAACACACACACGAATGGAAAAGAAGTTTCTACGGCACGCCAGGCGGCTATACTGTTCCGCCAAATAAAGGAGTGGCCTCTAAGTTTGGTGTTACTGCTGAGTTCCACTAAAGAACGGCACACATGACTCGGATTGCGTAAGATCAAATACTCCAAAATCAAGACGCCTCGTAGTCGGCGATACCGCCCGCTGAATACTCCCAAACCTTACAGCCTTTGTTCGTACGGAGCGTCGCGCATTCTAATGATGCATTTAGAAGCCCGACTTTGAGGTTGGGGTCCAATGCAGTAAGGTCGTGCTTCAGCCATGTCTGCCAGGCTTGGATTACGTATTCGAAATAGGGACAAACACAGGCATTCAGCATCTGTCTGAAAATAGTGGTGTCTAGTTGTCTGGATGCCTGTCGTAGCAAGCCGACGTGCTGGTTAGCAGTTTTCGAAGCCATTGCAGATTGTTTGGAACAACCCAAGTTATCCTGAACAAGATCGCGTTCGACGAGTGGCCGCTGCAGTACTTGCGTTCCTAGCCTATAGGAATAGGTACTCCGGTGTCGAATAGAGAGTACCTCGAATGTGTCCACGTTTAAGTGTAACAGATTCTTGATGACTAATAATGTATCGTATCTAGATTACACAGAAGTAAATGCTGATCGGTATCCGCCCGAATCCGGGGCCATATCTTGATATCATCAGCAAACAGCAGGAAATTTGAAGCAACATTCCGTGCAAGGTCAGTGATGAATACCAGAAACAACCGTGGATTTAGAGCTGAGC